GGACGCTCATGGCTGCAAGTAATTGTTAAGTCTTGAAGATTAGCGAAAAGTATTGATAAATTTTTATGAAGCAAAAAAATTCATGAAAGGCCTCGGTTTAGGCTAGGTCAAAATTGATGCATGTGTCAATAGTTGCTTTCTGTATTACGAGAAGAAAGGTAAGTCACTTATTGTTTATTTAGTTTGTAGTGAACATAGGTATAAAATACGCAACCTGGATCAAACTTGAAAAAAAGATAGCCCAAGGAATTCTTTGTGGTATTTGCCTATAATTCCACACCTACAAAAGTTGTCTATGTCTTGTAAAACTATTGAGCATATGATATGGCACCTTAAATGTTGTGTTGACTCAAAGGTCTTTATTCATCCTACTCAATCTATTGCTTGGAAACCTTTGATGAAGTTCATCCTTCATTCACATGTGATTAACAAAATGTTCGTCTTGGTCTTGCAACAAACGAGTTTAACCTGTGGGGTCATTCTTTGACATCATATTCCTATTGGCTTATTTTCATCATCATTTATAATCTTCCTTCTGAGATGTACATGTGACCTGAATTCACATTTCTTACACTTGTTATTGTTGGACCAAAGAGTCTTGGAAAAAAAACATTAATGTTTTTCTCCATCCACTAATTGATGACCTAAAATAGTTATGGTCGTCTGGGGTAGAAATATTTGACAACTTCTGTAAACGAAACTTCGCAATGTGAGCCATGTTTATGTGGACCATAATGGATTTCCCCGACTATGGTATGGTTTCTGATTGGAGCATGCATGGTCGTTTAGTTTGTCTGTATCGCAGGGAAATGACTTGTGCATTTTACTTGCAACATGGTTGCAAAATATCCTTCTTTGATTGTCATTGACAATTTCTTCCTATGTCACACCCATACAGATTGGATGCAACTCAATTCATTAAGGGTCACTTAGAATTTGGCCTTCCTCCTCCACGGTTAGATGGTCAGTTTGTTTAGCATTGAGTTGCTGCACTACCTAATGTTTTATTTAGAAATCCATCAGTTAACCAAACTATTCCCAGTTTTGGTGAAACACACAATTAATTTAAATAGAGTATCTTCTAGAAACTTCCATATTGGGAGGATAATTTGATCAGACACAATCTTGATGTCATGCATGTGAGACGAATTTCTTTGACAACATCATTCAGATAGCCATGGATGACCCATCCTCGAAAAACATTGTTAAGTCAAGAATGGACTTACCACTGTATTGTGGTAGGGAACAACTACACTTGTACTATGACAGTTTTGGGACGCTTTGCAAGCCAAATGTGAGTTATGCCCTTGATGCACAACAAAGAAGACGTTTATGTAAATGGCTAAAACATGTGTGATTTCTAGATGGTTGTGTCCAACATCTCCCAATGTGTAAACTTAAATTAGCTCTTCTTAGTTGGGTTGAAGAATCACGACTACCATGTATTCATGCAGCGTCTCATTCCAATTACTTTTCATGGCCTTTTGCCATATTCTAATGGGGTCCATTAACAAAAGTACGTAATTTCTTTCATGCACTATGTTCCCTTACTATCAACATAAAAGAGATGGAGGTTTGGGAAATGAAGCTAGTTGAAACAATACGTAGGTTGGAAAGAATCTTTCCACCATCATTTTTTGATTATATGGAGCACCTAGCAATCCATCTTCCTTTCGAGGCATGAATTGGTGGTCTTGTACAATTCCAATGGATGTACTTGTTTGAAATGTAATGTGACCAAGTTGGCACAAATTTCATATATAACAGAATCTACAACCATTTATGATTCTCATAACATAATTCAAATTTGACAGATGAATGTGTAAACTTAAGCAAATGATAGGGAACAAACATCATGTTGGGGCATCCAATATGGAAGCGTTCATCCTAAATGAAATAACATAGTTTTGCTCAAGATATTTTGGCAAGGATGTTGAAACAAGTTGGAATAAGCCACCAAGGAACTTTGCAGAAGCTTCACTTTATAAGAACATAGAAGTATCGATATTTGTGTGCCCTAATCACTTGATAGGTTCACATTCAAGGACATGATGTCTAATGATTCAAGAGATGCAAGCAGCTAAACTTTATGTACTACTAAATTGCAAGGAAGTTGATGGGCTTCTCTAGTGAGATATGACAAATCAAACTCCTATTTTACATATTTTTGAAGTCTGCTTTATCAATTATTGCATGAAAGTTCAAGTTTCCAGTTGTGGTCACACCTAATTGTTTCCATATTTTAGCATCTTTGATCAAAAAGTTGGTTCATATATGAGTCCTTCCAATCCACAAGAAGCACACACCAAAAGTTTTGTTATGTGGTTCAAAAATAAGATAAATAATATTTTTTCATCATGTTAAGTTGTTTCTAATATTACTATATATCTACACATGTATAGTATACAATATATTAACTACAGTTTTTATTGATACAAACTATTTAATTTATTAAGGAAGATAGTATAAATTTGACTAATAACACATATATATAAATTTGATAGGTGTTAAGTGGCTATCATAAAGTGAATGAGGTATTACGCTACCTTGCACTTGGGCCAACATGGATAGTGAATCTGTATATTATGTCAATGGTTTTAGATTTATGACATGAGGTCGGTAGCTCAAGACAAACGTATAATTGTGGTGTATGTATTAAAGGAACAACCATATATGATGAGGCTGAGATTGATTATCATGGCATCCTTAATGAAATCATCAAACTATTATATTACAAGCCACATGGGCGATTACAGACAATTGTCTTATTCAACTATGACATAATATTGACATTTCAGCAATATATCGACATACATGATAACTATTTTACCTTGTTCATGTGGTGCAAATAAAAATAAATGATAGGGAGCTATATGCAAGAGGAGCAATAGTGGTTCAAATAAATGAAATTGGGGATGATGATGTGGATCAAATTGTGAATGAAGGAGATGAAGGATATGAGACATTAAGGGATGCTGATAGCGAAAATAGCAATACATGATAATAGTTTACACACTTAGTATATGTTCTTCGGTCTATTGAATCTATGATTTGATTAAACCTTTTTCTTGGATGTATAGAATATAGGATTTAATTAAACCTTGTACTTGGGTCAATGATTTTGGATTAGATTAGATCTTGGTCTTGGGTCTATTAACGTGATATAGGATTTCATTAAATCTTGTTCTTGGTTTTACAATGTTGGATTTGATAAAAACTTTAAATATTTTTCTAATATTAATCCTGTATGTGTCTTCACTCTTGATTTTAGTGTCATTTACCTATGTTTTCTAAGTTAAAAAACATACAAATGAAGTTAAATTTATTTGCCAAAGAACCAAAGATGCTGGAAGAGATGATGATGCAATTGCAAATTTTAAATTAAAATTTGATTAAATCCCTAATTTGATCCCTCAACTAATGTGTGGACCCCTACTTTGGTCCGTCAATCTAAAAAATCTTTGATTTGATCCTTAATGTTATCAATTTGGCCCCAAGTTGGTCCTTCTATTAAAACATAGCTGACATATCTATTACTTAATGATAGAAAACCAATAATTAACAGTCACGTGTCACATTCATAAGGAGGCACATCAGTTGTTTTTCTACAAAAGGACCAAGTTGGGACTAAATTGGTAAACAGTAAGGGCCAAATCAGAAAATTCTTTAATTGAGAGACCAAATCAGAGGTCCATACAATAGTTGAGGAACCAAATTAGGGTTTAAGTTAAGTTTTATTATGTTTATTATTAAATGTCTAATTAAATTATAGAAACAATAATGTTAATTTTATATGACAAATCAACATGTGGCATCGGATCCATGGAGGTACTCAAGACTTAGGATTATATTAAAGGGTGTATATAACATGTGCATTAAAAAATATGTTAAGTGTATAATAAATATATTGTAAAAGTTGAACAAAAAAAATACATATTTTGTTTTCAAAATTTTCCTTCAGTTATTGTAATCTATGCATTTAAAGTGTATTAATTACAATACGTGAAAAATTAATTAAGTTGTATAAGAAAATTAAAATTAACTTTCAATCTATTAATTACTTAATTGCAATTATTTATCTACATTAACCCTAAAATAATATATAATTAATAAAAATATATTATGTAAAATTATTATGATATTTTAACTTCTATTGCTGGAACCACATATGTTAATTAGAAAAAGATTTTTTCCACTTGATATTTTTATGAAATATGTATGATTAGACTTATCTATTTTTTTATCAAGTTAAGTATAAAATATGAAGTCATAGAGGGACTTAGCTACATGAGAAGCTAGAAACTTAAAACTTTTCTTTTACTATTATTATTAAAATATCCAAGTAAAAAATGTAAACATGTAAATAGTACATGTGTAGGTGGCACTAATGTGTGATTTGGGTAATGGAGATTTAACATCACATACTGCACATAACCATACTACATTAAAAACTGAAGCATTATCATAAACTCGAAAAATTAAAGGGTCAAAATTCAATAAATTGAATTATTGGGTGAGGGAAAAAATGCCAACTATAGTAACAATTGAAAGCCAAAGTGTGGGTTTTTGCCACGAATTAATGAATATGCTTTTTAATGATTACTGACTATTGCTCCATTTTTTTTTCATTGCCATTGTTTATGATACTGTAAATGCATATAAAAAAATTCAAAACAAGGAAATATAAATCTTTGGTGAAAAAAGTACTAACCTATTTTATATGACCATATGTTTGGTAGGATGTCAACTAGGCCCATGAACTTTGCATGTAATCGGAAGCCAGTAGGGAGATGAGCACAATTTGATGCAGTAGATCTAGGATGTTTTACCCCAATAATGGAGCCACGTCCAACACAATCTATTAGTCCACAAGCATCAATTCATGTTGCGGCCTCATCCAATTAAAAGGGCAAGAAGAGAAAAGGCCCCAACAAAGCTAAAAAGGGTCCAAAAACACTTGATGAGAGACCTATTATAAAACTTTCACCCAACAGACAATTCTTGGATATAAAAGTGCTAAGAATGATTACAACCTTGTGGAAGAAGGTATATGATGGTGATTACTTCACCTATGAGTTGTTTCCAGAAGAGAAATGGGTGCAAGTGTGGGAACTATTTAAGGTAAGAAAAATTGTCTGTTAATGCATAATCGTGACATTTAATAAGTACCTATAATTAATGCTAACTATATTAAAGTCAAATTATGCATAATAAAATGTGATATTGTGTATATAATCTGGTAGTATAGTGCATGTTAATAGTAAGCCAGAAAATAATTGGTTGATATGTTGTTACAAGCACATTATAAATGTCTCGTACAGGATGAGGATGCGGTGAGGGAGGCTTTCTTAAAATCAATGAAAAAAAGATGGAGCAACAACATGAAGGATGAGCAAGATAAGTGGAGGAAAGACGTTGACTACAAATTGATATGGGTTCCATATCACTTATGGCCAAACCTATGCGCTTATTAGGATTCTCCCGAGTTTGCATGGTAAGGTAGGGAAAAAAGGGAAAAATGATACAATAATTCATAAACTATGAACATAGGTGACTTGTTAATTGATGTAATATAGTTGTGACATACAGACCAAAACTACTGGGGTTGAGGCCGAGACATCAAGACCTATACAAGGAAACACACATAATGCGAAAAGGTGTCCCTCAAGGCAAGGGAGCTTCCTGGTGTGGTGAGAAACATAGAGCTCGTCGTGTAAGGGCAAACATAGTTTAAAATATTTTCCCATGAGTAATCTAGATTGTTAGCAAAAGTTAATAAATGGTATCTTAAAAAGCTAAAGGCACTAAATAAAACATCAAATAGATTTTGCATGAGTAAATATTAGTATATGTAGGTGTTCATGAAATAGATTTTAGTATTGAGTAACAGAAGCTGGTATGTTGAAAGCAAAAACAACATAGCATGAGAATTGAAGATTATAGTAACTAGTAAAAGACAAGTGTGTATGTTAGCAAATGGTACTTTGTTATCACTTTTACTTAAATACTAATGGTTACATATTTCAACATTGTTACATGTATAAATCATTCCTGAATTCGCACTCATAGATCATGTATTTCTATGCACTACTTCTACAGGATATGTATGTAGCTAAGTGCTCTATTACACATGGTTTAGACTTAGCATTGTGGTTGCCAAGGGACAATGATGCATGGGCAATTATTGTTGGGGGATGTCATAGCAACTTCATGCTTGGGATTGGGTCATAGATCAACCCAAAGGATATTGGGTTTACTTATAGAAAGCAATAGCCAATGAAGAATTCATATATGAGTTTGATGATATTTGACCTAGCTGAAAAATAAGCAAAGGACCAAGAGACTACGGAAATGATGAGGGCGAAAATAGACCAAGTGAAGGAAGAAAGAGAAGTAATGAAATGCACGATGGAAGAGATGGGTAGGATGTAGGCTTGTTTGTCACAATAGTTTGCTAGTTTCAATGCCTATGGGATGTGCCCCCCTATTGCTGGCCCATCATTTCCTCATGCTAGGCAAGTATACTAGGACATCATGTCTTGCTAAGCCATCATTTCAGCATGCTATGCTAATGTATCTTTTAATGGAACCTGGAATCCCTATGGGCAATGTAGGGAGAGAGTCATAAGCAACTGAGACATGATCGGTCAATCCTCTACAAGATGATTATGTTTACCAGCTGAGATTTGATGCAAATTACCTGGGTCCATTTGGGCTCGAATGATGGTTGTGAATAAGGTTGTGTACTCAGAACTTGTTGTATTCTTGCTTCTTCATGGAACTACTTTGGGTTTATTGATGGATGATTTTACTTTGTTTAGACATTGGTCTATATGTCACTTTGGAGTGAATGGTTTAGAGTAATATTAATTGAATTCCTCTGAGTTGCAAGCTTATAATAAATAGAAATGGTCATATTACGTGTAGAATGTGGTAATTATATAATTGTTTTTTAATTTATGATTAGTTAGGGAGGAATTATATAAGTGCACATTTATAGTTAAGTGACAAATTGGTACACAAGTTGCTATGATGAATGATAGTGCAAGTAAGGTAACATCAAAGTGCACCTTCTTCTTCTTCTTCTTTTTTTTTTTTTTAAGGATGTGGTAGTATTCAAATCTTGACTACAACTTCAACCTTGTAATGAAAAATGGAGAATATGTGTATTCAATGAAGAATCAACTCTACTAATTGATATTCGACTCTTGAGGTGCACAAAATCAATTCTAAAAGGTCAATATTCGACTCCAAGAATCTAAAGAGTCAAGAAGTTCTGAAGGTAGGTCAAAGTCAACTCTCTATAACAAGAGTTGACCCTAAGTAGCACACAAAATCAACTCTAGAAGGGCAAGATTCGACTCCCAAATTCTAGAAAGTGGAAAAGTTCTAGATATATGGCAAAGTCGACTCTCCATACAAAGAATCGACTCTATGCAGTAGACACATCAATTGAACAAGGTGAAGATTTGACTCCAAATTCCAGAGAATGGAGTAGTTCTGGACACAGTGCAAAGTCGACTCTAGGCAGCAAACAATGTTGACTATACAAGGTCAAGATTGGACTCCCAAATTCCAAAGAGTGGAGTACTTCTGGACGCGAAGTAGAGTCGACTCTCCATGTGAAGAGTCAACTCTAGGCAGACAAATAGAGTTGAGTATACAAGGTCAAAAATTGACTCCCAAATTCTAGAAAGTGGAGTTGTTCTAGATGCTAGGCAAAGTTGACTTTTACAGAGAAAGAATCGATTCTAATTTTTAATAATTGACTCTTAAGAAAAAAATATTATATATTTCTATGTGAAATATTTATGTAAACTCAAATATATGGCCACATTATTTTTTTGAACAATCAATAAAATTCTACTAATATAATTATATTAACTAATATGTTAAGTGTTAAGTAATATTTAATAGAGTAATAAAAATCTACTAAGAAATTGATTTTTTTTAAAGGAATTTTTTGAAGTATATGAATAAAAAAATAGGCGGGAGATGGTAATTTGAAGTTTTAGCAATATGATATATGTCGGTTATGAGTTATGCTATTTCAAATTTAAACAACTTTTAGCAACATGGTATATGTTGCTGATTGGAGGGCAAACCTTTTTAGCAACATGATACATGATGCTAAAGGTTTTATATATACTCCACCCCACACCAACCCCCACCGAGCTAAGCAATTGTTTTATTTGTCCTCCAATTGCTTCTGCGCTCTCTGAATGCCTACTCCATTTCTCAACCTCTGTGATCCATTTCTCAACCTTTTTTTTTTCTTCATTTTTGCACAAACCCTACATATCTCATTCATTTTTTATCAATTAATTATTAATCAAGTATCATATATTTCTTTGCTTTTATCATAAAATTCTCATACATATATTAGTAAATAAATTAATTTTCATCAATTTCTTCATTTTCTTGAGGCATATATTGTGATTTTATTGTCTTCAATATTTTTATAAACATTAAGTGATTAAGTAAGTTTTAATTTATTAGAAAATTATTAAAATTATAAATGACTATATATATAATAATTACTAATTTTGGTTTTTTGTTTGTTTTGTAGGTAAATCTCATTAAAGTAAATAAATTCAAGTTCTGGATGCTCCCTAAACCGACATTAATTGCCTTGAGATATTTCTTTTAAATGTATTTAGCTAAAAGTTTGAATATAGGTGGTCAAAATAAATATTAATTATTCAGTTATAATTTTTTTTGCATACTTTATTATATTTAATGAAATTTATTATTTAGTTATTATAATTATAAAAATGGATTTTATAATTAAATAATACATAATTGTTAAATTTTATAATGATAATATAAAAATAATTTATTTAAATTATTTGTAAATATTAATGGAACTGAGAAATATGTATTTATAATATTAGTAGAGAAAATTTATGAATTTATATTTTTTTAAGAAAAAATAGTAGAGCAACATACCACTTGTCGATGAAATAATTCCAAAAATTGGCATTTGAGCATCATCGGCGTCAAACATCTTGCTAATTGGCATGAGCTGAGTGTTTACAAGACAATCAGCAACAAAGGATATGTTGTTGAAAGAAGGATGGTCTACTATGCGTGGAATAATTAGCAACAAGAGATAAGTTGCTAAAAAAAGGGTGGGCTACTATTTATTAGATTATCAACAACAAGACTCTTGTTGCTAAAACTAGGATGCTATACTATTCATAGAGTAATTGGTAACAAAGGACATGTTGCTAAAAATGGTGTGGGCTACTATTCATAAAATTATCAGTAACAAGTACCATGTTGCTAAAAATAAGGTGCTATATTGTTCACAGAATTATTAGCAGCAAGGGACATGTTGTTGAAAAGGTGCCACAATTCTAGTCACCAAATTTGACAATAATTTTTAGTAACATAAGCCACTTTCACCAACGTGGACCGATGTGCTTATGTTGCTAAAAAGGGTGCACAATTCCAGTGGATAATTCCAATGACTATTTTTAGCAACATAAACCATGTTGGTGAAAGTATACTTTGATGCACAATTCTGGTGGAGTATGTTGCTAAAAAGGGTGGAAATTTTCAATGACTGACTTCGGTAAATTTTTTAGCAACATGAACCATGTTAGTGAAACTTCACTTTCAACAAGAAGGGGTGTTGATGAAAAGGGTGCCATCAATCAACAACATGGAGCTTGTTGTTGATGTGTTATCGACCAAAGCTTCTCCAACAAAGACATCAGCAACATGGCTATTGTTGCTAAAGTATTTTCAGCAACTTGGGATGCACTTTCACCAACATGCTCCCATGTTGCTAAAAAGGAGGATTGTAGTAGTGGAACATCCTAACATTAAACTTATGCTTTTATCTTTGAATTGGACAAAAATAGTAATATTAAATAATAATAATAACAACGATAACACTTTTATTTCTAATTTTTAATTCACTTGAATCTTTACATATTACCTAATGCATTAATAGAGGGGAAAATTATATTCAATTTATAAATATATTGTTTTAGTTTCTTTTGTTTATTATTATTTTTTAAATTAATACTGAAATAATATAACAACAATTATTTATGTTACATTATTAATTATATTGTCACGCCCCAAAACCCAAATCTAGGGACGTGGCAGATTTAGTGGTATAAGAGCTTAGGTTAAATTAGATATCTGGAGATTAAGTGGTATTAAAGTTTAGATTTAATTAAATACCTAGGTTTAATTGAATACCTAGAATGGCTAGCCAATGGATTTTAGAACCGTGGTGAGACGAGTGATGGGGTTATATAAGGGACGATTCTGATTCATGTTGCCTGAATTTTTCTAATCCATTTGAGGAGATGGTAATCTGATTGTTCTTGTTTCCCGCCTTCATACCCTGTGCAGATTCATGAAATTAATCTTGTCCGCCATGTTCTTAAGACCTTGTTTTGAAACTTGGTCGTTTTCTGATAGTCTGCACTTGTTAAGACTTGTTACTTGAATAGAATTTTTGTATGCTCTTTTGCCACAATTGTAAAATCTGGGGAGTTGCAAAGATCTTTTGTTATTGATCTTGTTGGTCTCTACAGCATAGCTGGTTGAGAAATTTGTTCTGTTTGTCACATGACCAGTGGAAGATGGGCAAACCCTCTACTTTGTAAGAGAGTCAAGGCTATTTTAGCAAATGCTGTGTGTTTTCTATATGCGTTTTAGGAGCTGGATAACTTGGTAATTTCGCTGCTCATTATCTTTCTGAAAGTCTTATAGTGAAATTTCACTTTTTCCATCTGGAGCTTCATGGTCTTTTCATGTGGCTCATTTTTCTATATTGGTTAATCAAAAACAGTGATCATTCAATTGAAATTGCTATCTTTTTGTGAAGATTGGCAAATTTTCATAAAGTTAAACTCTCTATTGTTGCTAATCTCTACATTCTTGATACCTGAAACTGCTTGAAACTCTTGAAATCCATCTTGAATCTTTCTTGAGATTGCTTTGTACTTGTTCTTGAAACTGAAATCCAAAGGAAACGGATAATGATTATTGAAATCCTCATTATCTTGATTCTTGTATGAAATTAAGTCTTGCACTGTTCTTGGAATCTATTTTGAATTGTCCTTGAAAACCATTGTTGTCCTGACCCTTACTCTTGCTCAAATTCTATATATTGCTCTTGCTCAAACCCTGCATATTCTGCTAGTTCTTATTTTAGTATACCTGTTGATCTTGATTTTTAAGTTCTTATGGACACCTCTTAGGAGGGTGATGATTATTAGAAAATACCTATATGAGGCATCCTAATTCTTGTTTCTTGCAAGTGTTAATCTCTATATTTTTAATGTCTTAGCTTTGACTTGACTCTAGGATGTCTAGGATGACTTGATCATAAATCTGCTTAGCCTCCATGGGCTACGAGGTGAAGGGGTAGTCTTTGAAGTACCTGATGCCCTAGAGATTTGTTCCAAGAGAAATGGTTCTTTTATCTGGTTGCTTTGATTTTGTTTGCCCTTTTAATTAGAAGACGGTAATCTTCTAAGTATCCTGATCTCCACTATTGATTATTTTGTTAATTAATTCGTGTTACTTGGGGTGCTAGATCTTGACATCCTGGTTATATCTGCTCTTAAATCCATGTTCTAGTTGTCATTATTGAAATCTCGTTTGTGGGCCTAATTTTTGGAATTCTATTGCTTGTTTCATGGTTAACTCTTGTCTCTCAATTTTGACTGCTTGGTTAAATTTGATCTTGATTCTTGGTGAATGCCGTTTTGTTGCTGAATTTTTGAGGCATTCTACCTTGCACTCTTGTGTTCCAGTATTTTTCCAAGCATTCATATTTTTCACTGATTTCATTCTGATGCTATTCTGGAAATTTCACGTCATTTGATGGGTCTAGCTTTTAACTCTTGTTAATTGCTAAAATCTATCTCTTGATTCCAATTGCTTTGTTAAACATGACCTTACTTATTGGTTGACCTTTTTGTGGCAGAATGTATAAGGCATCCATGCACGCGTTCATTCATTCATGATCCATATATCCATTGGATGCTTATCTGTCTTTGATAGAGTTCAAAGTTTTGTTGTACTCATCTATAAATCCATGATATTCTTTGCTAACTCGTCCTGTGTTAGGTTCAAAGTGTAATCCCACAATTGTTCTTTTGTGGATTTGGCAGGATTTATTTCTATTCCTTGTGCTTCCCATATCACCCCAGCCTCTAGTAGCTTGTTTTATGGTAAACCCTGTTAAGTAGTTAGTGTTCTGCTTCTATGATTAGTTGTGGTTTGATATCAGAGTAGCGCAGCAGAAGCATAGTAGGCCATGTTTTGATCATAAAGAGTTGCTGAGGCATTTGTTTTGCCTTGGATTGTGTGAAGCCATTCACCAGTCTAGATGATCCTCAATTTGAGTTTTGGGGACAAAACTCCTTTTTAGGAGGGGTGGATGTAATACCCCAAAAATTTCTAGAACAAATAAGTGTGAGTTAAGGACTAAATTGTGGAAAATTTTTGTTTTGGGCTTAATAGCCAAAATATCTAAAGCCGAGGGACTTAAAAAGGGAGAATTTGGATAAGGATGGCTTATTTCTTTTTTTTTCCTTCTTTCTTTCTTCCTCATCACGTGTGCTTCTGCTCTCCCCAACCCCCCTACAGCCGAACAAGAAGCCCAGCCCCGATGCACCTCCCCTTGAAGAAAAACCGGTAAAAGCTTGGGAATTTCTCCTTCTTTTCTTGCTCTAGAACACAAATTGAACCCAGAAATTCCCCCCCTCTCTGCAGAAATCCGAATCAGCTCTGCTCTGTCCGTTCGATTGCTGCTCTTGCTGGTTTGTGGGTGCAAATTCTGGGCATTTTTAGGTAAGAAACAGCCATGATTTCATCCTTTTAGCTTTGATTTAAGTTGGGTTCCTTTAATTTTGGGTTAATCCCATGAGTTCCCTGCAGAAATTCTCTTGCAATTCTCGCCGGCTCCTTCCCAATCTGCACTCCGGTTTTGCTTGCTGGATTTATGGTATGTGACAGCCCCCTTTGAGCCTAAAATCATCCATTAATTGTTGAATTATCCATGTAGTGGCTACCCCTGTGATGTTCGACTTTTGCTAAAAAATAGGGATGAATTTCGGTAGCTTAAGTTATGTTTTTAAGCTTGGTTTAAGTGTAAATTAGCTTGATTTGGGCTGTTTTGATTTTGGAGAAAAAATCCCGTGAATTAGCCATTGTTCTGCCAATTTTGGAATTGCAGTTACTGTTCATGGTACTGTTCATGCACTAATGGCCAACAATTAACGGGGATTTAAATGATTAGTTTGTGATATACGAACAAATTTGGAGATGTCCGATAATGTGGAGATGTCCGATAATGTGGAGATTGATAGAAATAACATCATGATTAGGGGGTAGTCATGGTGATTTTACTTTTGAATTCGTTGTACGGTAATTAATTCTTGGATATTTTGATTAGGTTTTTTATCATTCTGTCAGTTTAGCAATGAGATCGAGTCTTCGGTTTTATGCGAGTGAGGTAAGTAGATTATGGTAACGCCCTTTGATTTTAAAGCATGTTTTGACTTATTTTTGAAATGGTGGCGAGACTAAACTCGTTTTATACAAAAGTAAGTATGACTGATTTGAAGTGAAATTTTTATGCTTTTCATTAAAATGAACATGCCTACTTGAAATTTAATTGATTGTCCTGATGATTTGGAAGTGATTGGTGAATTATGATTTTTTTGTTAACTTCTGCCTGTTTTGTCTCCGATGTGGTTATGTTATTAATGACCCTTCTAGTAGGGATTAAACGCTAGCACATGTCGACATGTTATTGATAGAACCGGTTCGTTCAAGTGTAGCCTGCCAGTGGGAGGTTTAAACATTGGCCATGACCTATAGAGGAGACGTCTATTTCGTTCTCGTACTGTATCCGTTTTTCATGACTGCACTTGTTGGCATGCTATAAGTTTAATTAAGGGCACTCCATATTTTACTTACTGGGTTTATCTCATAGTTTTTCCTTGTCCACCATTTCAGGAAACGAAACCGAGGACGGAGAAACCATGGGAAGTAACGAGTTAGAAGGGTAGCCATTTTGAGATTGATATAGATTTTAGAAATAAATCAGGATCTTGTAAACTAGACTTTATTGGAGATTTATGATATTAGAGCAAATTATAAAATTTGATCGACAAATTTTGATGGTATCAGATTGTGAATTGGATAAGTTCCGAGCCTTATGCATTTGTGGGACTTTCTCATGAGTGCACGGCGTCTGCCACATCCCCGGATTTGGGTTCTGGGGCGTAACATATATGCCTTTTGGTCTTCTATTATCAACTATTGCATAATAATTTTAATTGAGATTATATTTTTTTGTTAATTAAATGGATCAACTTGAATTTCTTTATATTTATGACCTTTTGCTTTTCATGCTGTTGTACATCTATCTTTTTTTAATTATATATCAACATAAGATTTCTAGCATAAAAGAAAGGTAAAAGGAAAAGTCATATAACTTTGAAACTGTAAAAGTAAATTTGAGTCATTTCAAGTTTTTAGTATTGTAAAAATAATTATTGTGTATTATATTCTTATATTTTGTTATTATTCTTTATGAAAATTAATTTCTATTCATCTTCCTTTAATTTAATACATTATACATAACTACTACTCATAATAATAATAACATAATTATTGACTAATAATTTAATAAAATTATATAAAAAATAAAAAAAAAAATTAAAAACTGTT